CTTGTCATGCATCGTATTCAATCCCAAAACTACAAGCATATTTTTAACACGAGAACCACGCGCAGTTATTTCATTAGATCTGTTGACTTGTCCTTTTTGACGAGACGCCCACACTTTGCGTGATTCAGGCTGGGGACGCTCAGCTGACAGATAAGTGGCGTAAGCAACTACCCGCTAATTTTACTCGGCTCACCCACGGGTAGTTGCTCCCTAATTTCAATTGGTGGCTTCTGGATGTAGGCAGTTTGAGTACGGATTCCCACGCGGCTAATATTAAAATGTTCATTTGTCAGTCGTTTTCGATATCTTCCGGAACAGCATATGCGTGTAAATAAATGGGCACACAACTAAAAACTCTGCTATGCAGAACATAACGCGTTGTATACCTTGAAACCAAAACAACATTCTCAGCAACATGCTCACCCGAAACGCGCGTTTCCCGCACATGTTTGCCCGAGCGCATGTGTGCCGCCTGCACCTGACTACTAGTTTCCATGAGGCTTCACCCGCCTACTACATGATGCCGGACTTGGGTCAATTGCTTTTTCGGAACTGAGGCGGCATAGCAGATAAAAGCAGATCAGTCTGCTGTATAGCGCAATAGAGAGAGTAAAGAATGTGATCGCTCATGGCAGCGTTATTTATTCGGCGATAGGTTGAGCACTGTTAGACTGGCACCCGCACCTGTCCGTATTGATCAATAACTGCGATCAGGTGTGCCAGGTTCATTGTGCACGAGAAGATAACGTCGAAGAGTAACTTGAACAATGACCGTATGCGCATAGGAAAGCATGTATTCATTGCCTTCTGCAGAGATAATGCGCTTCCAGGTCGTGTTTGGGTGCCAGCTGTTGGTGGTCGAACTGTTGGTGCAGATTAAAGCCGATAGCGAGGAAACAATAACAGAATAACGCGTCATCCCCTACCTCTGCAGTTTTTGATCGCTCTCTCATTTTAAGCGACCGGCGCCATTCAATGTATTGTGTGGGATGGTATTGACACAGCGAGAACAACTCCCGGAAAAACGCAACACCTGAAGGAGCTCAAAAACGTGCCCAATTTTGACGAGTGACATGATAAAAAATAACCGGAGGTACAGATGTGCTGTTACAAAGACCGTACCTCAACATATAATCATAATCATGAACAAACCCAGGTAACCCAAAGTTACGGTCAAACCCAACGTACTGAAGGGAAATCGCCAACAATGCAGGTGAGACTGAGTGATCATGTTTGTTGTAGTTTGGCAGGCATTGAACGATGCCTACCATGTCTTTTTTTTGCAAACCCCGTGAAAGTCGTGCTTTGTTATGAATTATTGCAAGTAAACACACCATGCATGGGTCATCTGCATCCAATAGTCCCCTAACAACCAACAGCACTGACGTCCTGCCGCGGTGCCCGTCACGTCACCAATGAATTACATTGCTGTATGATACATGTTATTTGTGATTTCTTGCAATGTTATGTAGTGTGATACTTTGGAATGCGGACACTCATTTGAAAACAATATATCCAGGATACTGCCCTATTTATAGCCCATTGCTCACTGCAATACGTTTGTCTTAACCTGCAAACCAGCAATTTTAAGAATTTATGTTAAAAACTCTGCTCTTGCACTGAGGCAGTATTACAGGTGCGCCGGTTTCTGCCGTTGGGCCTTGACTCTTCGCAAATATAACAAGCTGCGACGCGTTGCTCGGTATGAATTCAATGGCTTTAAGTGGCGTTCCTTAGTTTAAAAATGTTGTAAACTTAAGCCTGTCTGCCTTATTTGGCAGATCTCAGGTGACGCTTCATAGTTCTGCCTGTATGTTTGATGGAGTCGTATCTGAAGTCTGGAGGCTGGATGTTTGATGCCAACGGGAACAAACATATGCGATTAATATGTCCAGTCAAGTTAACAAAGGTCTCTGCAGGTGGTGCACCTTTATACGAGAATAATACATGTTGTCCAGGATTAGAGGATCAGAGACACCTTAAATCCATTTTCATTCACCGCCGTAAGCCTAATGCTAAATTTTCGCTTTTTGGTGGGATCGTCCCCCCCCTTCTCATAACGTGATGGTTCCCGCGCCTCTTTCTTTATGGTTCAGTATATATGTGCTTCAGCAGCTAAAGCTGCCAGTAAACCGCTACGTGCACTTGGTGCGCGCTGATAACATCTTTTACTGGCATTCATATTCCAAAGATGTTCTGAGGCATCAATGTGCATAATCCTTAAGTGCTTATTTTGCAACGGAATGCGGCCTCCAGGTAGCAGGAGACGAATCGGGGAGGAGCTCAGACTGGTGCAGGTTAGCCAACTACATTTGATAGCCATTAGATGTTTGCCGGTCCTGACAGACCCTCTTGGGTGGGTGGGTGGATGGAGAGAGTTGGTGGTGGGCACCCCTGCTGTCCTTTCATTGTCCCTGGTTTTTGTATACACAATCTTACATGTCTCCCGGCTCTGAATTTTAGGGGCAAAAGTATCGACCAAAGCTCTTCATAGTAACGCAAACTATAGACCTAGTAATGCGATGCCAGAATGGATGTCCCCACGGTTAGAGGCCATATTGGAAACATATCGGGTTTAACAAGGCATTGATAAGCTTTGGATGAGGAGAGGCTGGGTTTCTCTCCTTATGGCCTTGTCTTCTTGATCGCATCTGCTGTTGCATTGATTTGACTCCAATGACTACAGTTTGGTCACAAAGCACATTATTAAGGGGCAGGGGGGGGGGGGGGGCAGCTGCCCCCTCCCTCCCGTCAACCAGAGAAAACGTTTGAAATCTGCAATGCACACCTCACACCTCGTCTGCAATGCACACCTCAACGCTTTCCGACCGCTTGTAATTACGGCGTTATCTGGTCGGATCTGTTGTCACATCGTCCTTTTGTCACATCGTCCCTTAAACTTACTCGCAGTTTTGCCCCATTAATTGCCCCATTGCCCCAAAAAGACATTTGCGTCTATGCCACATAATCGTCAAATCTCTGCGTCCAATTCTCCATCATATCTCTTTAGGTTGACTGTGGTCTGAGGTTTTATTTTTGTAAGTAATTGGGTGCGTTTTTCAGTCAGAAGCGTTCTTTACAAATTGCAATGAATAGAATAATCTCGAAGTCCGAAATCGAACAAAAGCGTGGATGTCTCGAGCCCGTGCAGGGCCCAAAATGGTCTCATTGAGCAGCCGCAGAGACATAAGGCATAAGCATAACAAGCATAACATATTTAATGGGTTCAGAGCATTCAGCGTCAGCATTTCAACGCTATTTTATCCCGTGTCCGTTCAAGTCGATTTCGTCAAGTCTGCAGAGCCATCTGCTGTTTTTTTTGTGACAGTTCCGTTTTGTAAAACACACAACGTCGTCAGCCAAAACACGTCGTACATGTGATCGTTAAACTAAGCCCGGGACGCCTGTCTACGTAGGTTGGCTTGATTGCTTCACCCAGTGTTCTTCTTTGCCGTGCACACTATGAGCGTAGCAGTTGCCGATCTAGTGGCATAAAACAGGCCTGACTTTAAATACCGCAACCTAGCTTCCGACACTCAGTACAACGACCAGGACGCACGAAACATAGGGGATGAGCTGGAACATTGCGGTGAATCATAGCGAGTAGACGGTTAATAAGAGCATTAGATCTCTATCCCCTCAATGTCGAAAAAGCAGGGGACAACGTCGTGCTTGCTTTAGGTAATACAGAGCTGGTTACAAGTTTACACTACATCCTAAGGTTATCATTGTTTCTTACATCTGACAACGTGACAGATAAATACATTCGTCCTGCGCCATTGCATAAAACAACTGATTTGTTTGGGACTCGAGGGCTCAGGGGCTCACGGGTTCCATTCTCGCGGGGCTCACGGACTCGATTCTCACAGGGCTCACGGACTCGATTCTCAAAGGGCTCACGGACTCGGAGGCGCACACGGGGACACACACTCGGACTCAAGCTCAAAAAGCGCACACTTAAGCTTGGACGCGTGCGTCGCATAAATAATCGGGGGCCGTCTCCTGCTCATGTCATGTGTAATGGCTGCACTAAATATATCGACACTCACGATAATAGGCATTGGCTGAATCTCAAAACCCCAGGCTTTGCGCTATAACTCGTGTCTAGGCTGTTACCCGGATCGATGTGCGCTATAGTGGAACATTTTCCCGAATGTTCGAAGGGTAGGGCTAGGTTTTTCTAAGGTATGTTCCTGTCTTTCGTGGTTTCCAGGATATTGTTCTAAGCACCACGGTTACAGCATGCAGTTCGAATTAACGTTAGGCATTACTGCAATGCTACCATTCCACCAAAGATCATATTTCCTAAGCTTAAAACTGTAAGCAACATTGGCATGCCCGCTATTTTAATTGACAACATGATAATATGACATGACAGCATTTAACAAGCTAGAGCCAAATGAACACCATATCAAACAGGTATGTTTTTTCGACCCGTACGTAGGTATTATGTGAAAGCATGGTTTGTATTCTTAACGGAAAATTTTCAAGATTTGTTTTTTATGATCTTTTTATTGATCTTTCATCGCTTGATGTGCTTCTGCTGAATCTAATGCCTTTTCGCAACCTGTTGAGCTCCGAAACGTTGCAAGCGATCCTGACCCCCCCCCCCTTCCCCTTTGATTACAGATCACGCGTGCCAGCTGCCGCCAGACATGTGCCGCGACGGGTGCGTGCTGCGGTCGGCGCGATCCGAAATAGAGCGCCGCCCGGCCGGCGGCAGCTGCCGGTGTCACCGGGCGGCGGGCCGAGACGGCGTTCTGGCCGGTACCACATCCGGCTCCGTCTAGGGCCCATAGCTGGCGGGCGCCCAGCGAGGCGACCTTGACCGCAGCGGCCACCCCTGCCCCCCGCCCCAGGCTGACATGTCATCAGCCGGGCGGCGCGCCCGCTGCCGGCCGCGGGCCCTCTCGACCCGGCCGTCGCCCCCAGCGCTCCTCACCGGTGCGAGCTCCAGCTGGCCGGCGACGCCCCGCTCCTCACACAAAGCCGCCACTCACCTGATGGACTTCCTCTTGCCGGCGAGGTTCCCCATGGCGGCAGTCGGCGGGGACGGAGGGCCGCTGGGCGGAGGGGACGGACGGCCGCGGGACGGCTGCTCGGACGGAGCGCTGCTCTGAATGCACGGCACCGAGCTCACCGGACCGAACCGGTAATGCGATCCGGCTTGCAGACGGCGCGGTACAAGGCTCGGCCGGCGGCGTCGGCGGCTATCGACCGCGCCCGGCCCGCGGCTACGGCTGGCCGGGCGCGGCGGCCCCGCCCGCCCGACCGAGCGGAGCCGCCGGCCCCGCCCGGTCGGCCGGCACCTGCCCTTGCCAGCCCATACCGCCTCCGGAGCTGCGGGGCGTCGACACACGGCAAGCGGCAGCAGCATCTCGAGAGGGGCGTGCTTTGGGGATCAAGGTTCCGTGCCAACTGCTGAATATGAAAATGGCTGAGAGGCTCACATGACGGCACCAAAACGAACCACCGAAATGTCACTGATTGAAATGCAAGTTTTGGTCTATGTGACCTCATAAACTTTTTAGCAGACTAGTAGTTTAGCGTTTCGGTGATTTTTTTAATGCGGCTGCTTGCTTCACGCTTTGCTTGATGCCTGTGTATGTATGCGTATAGTTATGCTTAAATACTTAATAAATGCTCTTTAACCCCAAAGTGCGTAAAGCTAAAGCGTGTGGTTTATGCGTAAAGCATAGACCACACGTGATGGGATGTTTCTAGCTATATTATGTATCGTTGAAAGAATGTTCAGCATGTAATGTTATGTTATGCACGTTCAGCATGTACGTGCATGTGCATGTTCAGCATGTTGTGCAAATGATAACATCGGAGCTAATCCCTGGGCTTAAAGGTGTTACCATGAGTGCACAATTACTGGAGCAGTCTTAGCTCATTAGAACTTGTTGGCAAATAGTGTTGGCCGAAGGATCAGAGGCTTATTGTAGAACCTTGCACACACCATACTACTGAAAAGGTATACCCTGCTCGTCATGACATACAACTATGTCTACATAATCTGTTCATTCAGAATATGCTTGGGGAAAGCACGTGCCTAGCTTTGGATTTCCAAAACTAGGCACGTTTTTGTAGGCACGTTAAACCATGGCAAACATAGTTTAGCAAAGCCACATCGCCGTAGACGCAACAGAGTGTTGGTTCGTCACCAAACGCACATGTTCACGTGCTTTTTGAAAATAAGTTGTCTCAAACATTATTGCGAGAGACATCATTGCGGGACGCAGACAAAGATGACATTATGTTTGTTGAACCGGAGGAGAACCAGGTCTGTAAAATACTTCCTCGCGTTGCTGAAATAATCCCAGTCATAGTTTCTGGATGGAATATCTTGGACCATTGACTGTGGTCCATTAAACCCTGCCATTGAGGCAGAACTGGGCGTTCTTAGCAGAGTCCGACTTTGATGCGAAGCCCAGACAGTGGAGAAATCCGCAAGAGTGGTGAATGGTTGTTGCCAAGAGGCACACCGTATGAAGGGTTTGCGATCATGCCTGCAGGTAGTACAGAGCCTAACACACTATCGCTATCTATCGCGGACATTACATTGGTAATCGAATCTAGCACTAATTCACTATGCAACGTGAACGCGAAAGGATCCGTCACTCGGAAAGTCATATTTAGCAGGCAGCCGGCAACGTTCTGCATACCACATCTATAGAGTTCGTGCAGAGTCTTAACTTCTAGTCGTTTCAAATCTCTCAACCCTAAACCTGGCATATAGAGATTGTGGTCTTCAGTGAAACACTCATCATTGGTTAGGACTTCTTATGCTCGAAAATGCTCGACCTTCAGAACGCCCGGCACGGCTTGCGAAGGGCACCGCTGACGCATAAGGACGGCCACTCGACGTCCTTCCATGGGATAGGCGCAGAGAATGCTACTCTTTGGTACGTGCTATGCTAGCATGAGACAGAATGTGCATTGATCGATTCCATGGGTGTGTTGGCACAGGAGGGAGGGTAACTGGAGGAATGTATTGATCGCCGGAGTATGTAGCACGTCGATGAGTTGCTACGCAAAAAAGTGAGTTCCTGCATGAAAACAAGCTGGACCAAACAAAGCTGTATGCGGATAAAGGGAAGTGTTGCGTGAGGTGGAGTGCTACACAGGTGTATAGAAGTGTATGTGCACAAATTAATCTTGCCTCTTAGAATATTTTTTTCAAATATGTTTATTCGTGGCATGTTGTTGAAGGCATTTCTTGGAACCTAGCTCACGCCCAGCCGGGCTTGTTACGTGAGCCATGACCTCACTGTCGGTTCGTGACATTCCACGCCAACGACAAAATGTTGAAGTGAAAGCCTAACGTGCCGCAATGCTCGAAACGGTCCACACAGCCCTCTGACCTCATCTGACCTTGAGCGGCCGCTGCCAGGGGCCGCAGGCCATCCCAGTCAGAGGATACGCCTGGCAACGGAGCGACTGGAACACACTCCGCCATGCGTAGATTGCGTGTGATCCGGACGCCCTAACCTTATATATATATATATATATATATATATATATATATATATATATATATATAAAACAACAAGAACAGTAAGAACACACTTTCTCAGATTGTGTGAAGCCGTCCTAATGGTGCCTGCATAGGCCACACGATCATGACCCATGGCAGCCGCATTTCCCTAAGTACATGCACTTTAGACTATATGATAGAGGAGTGCAGCAGAAGAGAGTAACTCTAAACTTTCGGAAACACCTTCTTCGTGATGAGACACAACGCACAGAGGGTAGGACCAAGGCCTCAATACGCGCTCGGGTGAACGGCCACATTTCGCATAGTTGTAGATAATTGAATAGCGGATCTTTTTGGGTGAAAAATTAGATGTATCTTGCAAGGTCACTGACATATGGCAGGTCAAGGTCAGGCCATGGCTGTCAGCGGAGGGCATTTCTAGGAAATCGTTCAATTTAACGCAACAACGCAGTCTTAGACGAAGCCATGCATGTTCGAGGTACTTTGACTGACCTAGGGCGGGTACTATGGGCAGACGGAGGTCAAAATTAGCCTGCTTTTTACTCGAGGACTTGGTTTCGCAAGGCAGTTTTTGGTGCTCATTTCGAGCTTATGAATGACGGGGCCGCGACAGACATGCTACATAGACTTCCTAAAAATAATAGTAAGTTACTGACCCAACATAACCCAGGCCAATATTTTGTTTTTGGCAGCATATCACCTAACGTTATTCCTGACCCTTGTTCAAGTGGCAAAATGGGAACAATCTCAAAAATAGTTGGTCAGTTTGGCCCTATAAAGGTTAAACAAGGTCACTGACATCAGTGGATTTTGCTTAGAACGGGTTTCTAGCTTCACGGCGGTTGCACGAGAGGTCTGGGGGCACTTCAGACACTTATCTGGAGTTTGACATTGTTTAATCTTATTTTGTCCAAATATCATGACCATGGAGCCTCAAATTCTGACCCAAGTGAGTTCATGTGCAGGTAATCTACCCCATGAATTTGGTATATCTAGCTATCTTAGTTTTTGAGATCTCAGCGAGGTTAAATTGACACCCTCTCACCCGAGCGAAGGGTGTTCAGCTAGCCACCCTACCGCGTGATAAAGAAACAGCTGGGTCAGTCGACGTAAGGATCTGATGGCCTGGATATCAATGATCTTCTAAAGGGACGAATATTTGAAAATCTCCAGATGCTGGCCACTGTTTATGAAGACAAAGTAAAGACCAGGATTCAAAGAAAGATTCTTGCCCTCCCGAGCCAATATAATTGTTTTATCGACCTTCCGACTTATGTCGAATGTACTAATACAAGACACAAGACTGGAAGGAGCTATTGAACTTAGGCCTGATTTAATACTTCTACCAAAGCATAGACAGCGGCTGAAACGGGTAGAAATCGAGTTGTTATCTCAGCAGATTCATTATTTACGCCCAATATAAGATAGCGATTAATCCCAACATACAGGAACAGCTACAGACAACAAGCATTAAGCGGAGGGGAAAGAGCAGCAGCAGCACCCTCATTGAATCACGGTTACGTAAAGCGGCGAAAGAATTAACAGATAACTCGGACATTATCATTTGTCAGGCATGTAAAGCATCCATTTTTCCGCTCGATCGGAGCGACTATATTTTCAAAGTGAAAACGTCCTCAGTGACAAATCCAAGTTCTACAGGATAAGATGCAGCCAAGCTAAACAGCAGCAGGAGATGAACCCACTTATTAATGCCGCTAACGCTGTCATTGGAAGGGCTAAGTTTCCGCGAATTTCAGGCGCCTTTAATCCCGGATACTTTGACGGAAACATTAGAATGCCTTAGTCAGGATGCGCGATTCGCCCATCATCTCGCAGATACCTACTCCATGTTAGAACCTAACTGAAACGCTGAACAGCCTCATAGCACTGATCCGTCCGGTCTGCATACTTCCTCAAGTCATCAGACGAGGTTGTGAAGATAATTAAACTAAAAACCCGACATAGAACGCTAGCATTACGTTCATGTCATGTCCAGAGCCTTTTTTACCGATGTCCTCATCGATGAAACCACCAACATCGTCATGGACAGAATTTATAGCCACCCTTACCTGTCACTACTCGCTGCATCAAATGAGATTGTCCGCCAAATGCTCGAAAATGAACGAACAAGGCACCGCTCCGATGTTCGAAAGGAAATCTGTTGTATCAGGTATATGGCCCAGCAAGTTTGTCCAAGCATACATGCCACGCACCGAAGCACAAGGTTTGGCTACGGCCGAGCTGCAGCCATTCGCGCGCCGTCGCTATATCGACGACATTTTTGTTGATGTACGCGACGACAAGCATCGCCAGTGGCTTAAGCGCTAAGCGGAAGAGGTGTCCATCCTCAGTTTTATCATTGGAAGAAGCACAGACAACAAGCTGCCATTCCTGAATGTGAGTGCTGATGCATCGACTGGACAATACGGGACCGGAATCTACCGTAAGCCGATAAACTTTGGGCATTGCTCGCGCGGAAGGAACAAAGGCCCCGAAAGATACAGGCAAGGCGTCGCGGGGGTGTACCTTCACGGACCGTTCAATCACCGCTCTTTATGGCCACTGGCCCATCAATAATTCAAACGAGTACGCCAACCTCCTCCTGACAATGAGCACCGTGCCCACAC